GGGGGACAAAGGGTCCGACCCGTCTTCGGTGCATGAGTACCCGATATTCATCTCATCGGTGCGCACGATGAGCGGTTCGGGTCCAATTTCCTCTCTTTTTCCTTCGCCCACGATTCTGCTCATAAGGGCCGTTCTGGACGAGATTACTCTTGCTCGGGGGAGATCAATGTGCAGGGCAAAGAGTAGTCGCTAGGCTTATTGCCCATTTCGGCGAACGCTTCTCTTATTAGTTTTTCATATTTTTTCGCACCCCGTCTCTGCCTCTCCAGATAAATTTTTTGACTTAGGGTAATTGAAAAAATCATGAGACTGTATCAAATAATTTTTGACGATTCGAAGAAGATGTGCTGAGATGATTCAGAACCGTACTGCCCCTACAAAGGACACAGCAATATGACGCTATCTATGTTTACTTTTTCTCCGACTCCGCCCCTTTGTCTCCCGTCCCTCCCACTTCGTTCCATTCTCTCCCCATTCTCTTGCAAACAATCCTTATCAGTCAGACAGTCACTTCTAGCACTCTTATCTTTGTGGTGGCCAGTGCTAGCTCATTGTGCTCCTTTTTTGGTCGTATTCATACCTTTTAACCCTAGGAACAGTTGTCCGAGTATTTTGCACAATTTTTTTCATTTTCTTCGAGAAATTTGGATTCTTTCAGCTGAACCGCACCAGCAAGTCGTCTGTCAACTTGCCGGCGCGATTGAGACAACAGAGACAGTAACCTATACTGCCAGAAAATCAAGTCCATTGAGTACGATAGACGGATAGCGTTTAACGCTACCACTCTCAAGGTAAGTTTTTACCCCAGAGGGTTAGGGTAACTCTTCTACATACCGAGTAATGTGGTTATTTTGCAGGTCTACGAGGTTCGAGCTCCCGAGACCTTCATCAGCTTTCTCGCATTCATCTACGATTCAGTGGACGAAGGCGAACCACCTCCCTGGTAGCATTTACCCAACGATTGAACTACCGCTAACCAAACTGGCTGTAACCATGATCAAGCAAATGGAAATTATTGGCGACAGCAAGGTTAGTGATTTTACGCAAAAAATTTGAAAAAACAACTATTTCTCATTTTTCCAGGTCGGCATCCTCGAAGAAAAAGCAGACGC